ACTAAACAATTAAGAGAACAGAAAAAACAGTTATCAGAACAAATAAAAAATCTAAATGATCAAATCAAGCAAAATAAAAAAAAAGATTAAGAAAGAAAAAAAAATTAAGTACAACTGTACCACTTACTTATTTTTTAATTAAATTAAATTTATGTCCTTGCGAAATATAATACTAAGTCCAAGCCATGAATTTAATGTATTTTTTGTGTTATTCATTTAAGAATGTTAAATTTTAANTACAGCATTGAACGGTGACGCGTCAATCGTTGGCGCCACCTAACTCTGACGGTAGGCTCTCTACAGTTCAGTGGTAGCATTGAACGTTCAGAAGCCAAAGAGGGGGAGCGCACGAGCTCGAGTCATGGCCGTCATGGGACCATTTCGGCACATTGGAAGGGCTCGAGCAGATTGAATGCTTAAAGTACACCTATATATACAAAGAAGCCGAGCCCTTCCAATGTGCCGAAATGGTCCCATGACTCGAGCTCGTGCGCTCCCTCTCTTTGGCTTCTGAACGTTCAATGCTACCACTGAACTGTAGAGAGCCTACCGTCAGAGTTAGGTGGCGCCAACGATTGACGCGTCACCGTTCAATGCTGTATTAAACGCATACAGTGCAATCTTCTGTCTGTATAAAGTTGAGCTCAGGACTGTTATATCTCAAAGATATGGTTGAACTCAAACAGTTCAATCACCTAGGCTGTTTAAGTACCAAATTTTTTTCTGTGTGATGTATTTTTGTGTTATTCATTTAAGAATTTTAAATTTTGATGATAAAAACGTATTATTTTTCTAACTTTATTATTTTTTACTTATTTGTCAAATTATTATTCATGTATAAAGTAATTATAAACTTTCCTGATGTTTTTTTTATCATAATTTCATAATATTATGGAATATACGGACAAAGCTCAATTTCGCATTTATAATACGTACATTTTAGTCTTCTCACTGTTTAAATTAGTATTAATAATCAGTAATTGATATTTGTTCTCAAATGATACCATGATTTCTTTGAAAATTCCCCTTTCTGGTAAATCCAAAAATTATGATATGCTATCGTTATTTAATTAAATGTTGATTAATGAACTGCGGCATCCAAAATTTATGGTCATAATAGGGACATTTACCTTATTTGTTATGAGTCATTTCTAAAAGAATTATACAAACGAAAATCATGTGATTAATATAGGCTTTTGTGGAAAGTAACCTCTTTGTCTCGCCCTAATGGACAGAACTTTTTGAAAAATACTAAGGTATTGAAAAAAATCTACCTACGAGTTAATTATTGTTTAATTATTCAGTGATGACAAAATTTAGAGGCACGTTATAGTACATTTTAAGCAATGCAAACGTTAAACGTAAGAAAAATATTGAGTTTGTGGGGTTCAAGAGGGGGTGCGCGGTAAAGGGCCTGTTGAATGGTTCCGATAAAACACGATAAAAAAAAATTATATCAGGATAGATGTGTGTCTTTGCACCAAAACCTGATATATTGATCATTGTTTTCGTATGAATATCCCAGGATAATTTTATATCAACTTTATGGGATCATACAAGTTTTAAACAGTATTGTAAAATATATAAATTTTTTCTGATTCAAACATACGACTTACAATTGTTTATATGTTTTTTCAGGGAGAGTACAGAGCTGACACAAAATTTTATCATATCGTATAAGATTGATTACATTACCAAATTATTTATCAGGATCCACTAAATTATTACGATACGCACGATATGATGTTATAAAATGCTAATTATGTTTCACGCATGATCATACTCAAATATTTTACCTGTAATTATACGGTCAGCTAATTAATGTACGTGACTGAAAATTTAATATTTTTTTAAAAATGAGTTTAGATGTCTGACTAGAACTCAAATCTTTTGGGAAATTCGATTAATACACTATTTTAAAATTCAAACATATTTTCAGTCAAATAAAAATACTTTATTGAAATTTAAAATAATCATTTGTAAAAATAAAAAACGTATTAAACGTGCTATTTTTCGCAGCTTGCCTTTGACTAGACTATCTTTACATATATCTTATGTTTTCTTACGTACTTAAGAGCCTCAATATAAATCATATCTTAATTACTAAGTATTTGTTTAATGTAATATAGTTTATAAATTTTAGTCTGACAATTATTATTATTTATCACGTACTTACATACCTTTATATTAATTAACACCCTAGAAATTAAATTTAAAATATTTTACCGTGAGCTTGAATCGAGCCGGAGTCCACCGGTATGTGAATCCAACGTGTTACCACTGAGCTATGGCAAAATTGAATTTGAATGAAGAAAAACTGATATAAATCGTTTAACTGATATAAATGTACCTACGTCACGCGGGAATCCATCGATATCTTGTAAATCCGTTACATTGAAGCACAAGTAAGAACGTGTATATCAAAATTCACAATTGTAGTTGTTTGTTTAATATTTACACAATATTTTGGCAAGCTCAGCTCCGTGGGCCCTAAGACAAGAAGTTTCATATTGACATTGTCAGTCATATTCGCATTGAATACCAAACCAGTAGAAATTTGACGAGAATCATATAATAACATCATATGACACCATTTGAAGACTAAAATTATAAGAATATATATGTGTATTTGCACCTGACATATTTTATAAGACCTTATATACCGAGAATACATCAAAATACTAGGAAAAAAATAATATACACGAAGTTAAATGTATATGAAACTTATCAGAAGTGTATCAAGAAAAACCTATGTCATGAAGTTTGCGTCATTAAATAGGGATATTCAATTCTGGACGGGTAATACAAACAAGTCGAAAAATTGTAAATAAACATCAAGGTTCGCCATACGCAACCATCGGAAAATAACCTATATAAAATAATATGTACAACTATTTTGTAAATTACCATGTGTACTTGTTATCCACATATAGGTATATTTCGTTCCGAATCATGGTAAATATTTTTACATCATATACACCGATACATTGGGGAGACAAAAAACTTACTGATAAAATATTACACCTCGCAATTTTATGTCCGGTATACTAAAAGAAATGTATATCAGGTTTTATCATGTTGTACCGGAACCATCCAAACTGCGCGGGCAGAGGGGACTCTCCTTTCCTCGTCCCTTTGAGTGATACTCTCGAACCTCCTAAGATTTAATGTTATTCTGTTCATAATCATTTCGTGAAAGAGCCACCTCAACATAAGCGGTTTTCCGCTAAAAAAAACATATACCCTCAATGAATGGTACAAAAAAAATATCCTTACTTGTACAAATAACAGAGTGCTGCAGCCAGGGACGCTGGGGATGGAATTGACTACAATTTTCGTACACACGGAAATTAACAATTAAAATTTGTATCATGTAAACAGATTGGAATTTATGACAGCTTTGGCTTGTGCGTTTGTCATGTCATGATGTGAGACTAGAAAAGTGATCATTAAAATGAGTTACGAGATGCAACAGTGTGGTTTCTAAAGTAATTTTTGCTAGAACCGATATTTTTGTTCAAATCGTGGGACATTTGGAAAATTGTCCAAAACTTTTGCTTGTAGATTAAAAATAAATGTTATTATGGCATGAATGTAATATACAATGTCCATACTTGATAATGTATGTGCAAGGACATGGCAGACAAACCTTTTTTTCCCAGTAGAAGCTTTTAATTGCGAAATGAAGATTGGGACAGGGAACGTAAGTGATATTTGGACTATATTTTCTTATTAACCTCTTAATGGAGTCAATGTATGAGCTTGAAATTTTTTTCCAAAAAAGTTTAACACTTGTTACACAACTTCACACAATTTGGATATTCAATTTTAGTTTCTTGTAGTAGCATGAGCTCTGGGCATAAAGTCGGCTACTTACGGCAGAATCACCCATATATATGTGTGTGTATATCTATACCTATATTTACGTCCAGTGTACATTTGCAATTAACTAAATATTTAAATTTAAAATATCGTTAATATTAATTGTCATGATCAAGTCCATATGTGCTGTAAGCACGCCAAGCATGTTCTAGTAAACTATAAATTACAGTTAGTTATAATTTATAATAGTTATTATCAATTTTTTTGTACTTTTTAATAGGTCACTTAAGATGAGAAAAAAAAAAAAAAGACTCATAATAACAGCTACTTATACAATTCTCCTTCAAGTCTCAAATATGGGCTCCATTATATTGTATTATCGGTTTGTATTCAAAAAATCTACACAATATATAAGAGCTCTACTTTTAAATCGATGGACCATCTTACAAATAAAAAAATCTACATGATCATTTTTTGATAGCCAAAAAAATTACTAAAATTCTAAACATCTCTTTGTTGATTATAATCAGTCTAGATGAATGATGATTTATGAAAAAGCATGAAAAAATTAGTTGACTGTACAGACGTAGAAGTAGGGCTGACAAAGCTGTATAGAAAGTTAGCCATGAGGAACATCCGCAGTAGATGCAAACACACGTTTACAAATGTTTGTTCTGGAAAAACTTCAACTTTTAATTGAATGAATTCAATTATCCCTGTTCTATTGAACGAACGAAATTTATATCAACAAATACCAGAAAATAGTAACAAAAAATTACTAAAATTCTAAATATCTCTTCGTTGATTATAATCAGTCTAGATAAATGGTGATTAATGAAAAGCATGAAAAATTAGGTGACTATAAAGTCGTAGGAATAGGGCTGACAAAGCTGCATAGAAAGTTAGCCATGTGGCACATCCGCAGTAGATGCAAACATAAGTTTACAAATTTTCGTTCAGGAACAACTTCAACTTTTAATTGTGTGAATTCAATTATCCCTGTCCCATTGTACAAACGAAAGTTATTTCAACAAACACCAGAAAATAGTAACAAAAAAAGGAAAGAACGAGCATAAAAGGTTAGGTGATACGATCACTGGTATACACACAAAACTGCGTAATGTAATGCACGTATTTGGGTTTTTTCAACTCATTTAAATAAGTATTAAAGCACTCACCAGAACATCCTCGTCCTCGTCTTCTCCTTCCCACTTGTTGGAGGGCATCTCGAAGCGCGGCTCCTCATTTATCTTTTCCTCTAATCAGGAATAATTACAAAAATCATGTAATTCATGTATTATTTATAATAACGGTGCAAGCAACAGCTTGCTAAAATTATTAGTATGAAATGAAAGCAAACTGCATCTAGCATCGTCGCCGTAAACAATAACCGTTACAAATTTGCCAGTAAAGGTTATATAGCACATACTTATATTGTAACTTGAAAAAACATATGGCTTCTAATAAGTATAGCCAGCTTACCCCAATCGTCCATATTGATGATTCGCCTAGCTTGCCTACAGTGCACAGAGACAAAAAAATCGAAGCTCGTACTATGAATAGATTGTAGTTGTACTTAATACAACTCACGAGCGAAGGTCCATGTAAAATTTCACTGGCGTAGAAAACACGACTCCTATATTTGTGCTGCCTTAGGTCGAAAGACTGAATATGGATGCCTGTGATACCTATGGCCGTTCCTGCGTTCCATGTCTCGTGCATACTATACCTAACAAAGATGCTTATAAAATTAGTTACTATTTAATCTTGCGTTTAGATATCTAACCACAGTTTAGTTCATGTTACAAAGTTTTTGATATTTTGGAGAAAGAGTTATGCGCCAACGCGACAAACAAAATGGCAAGATATTTTTATTTCACTCGATGATCGATCATAACCAGAATGAATGTCCCACAGTTGCCACAGTAATTTCTAGTCTCGTAAATGACATTTTTCATCTCCCTACATTTTATCTTCCCTAATTATTATGTGGTTAGATGGGGCACAAAAAAAAATCTACAGCGGAACGTCATGGGTTGCGTTCGAATAAATCGTATTCGTATCCCGATCGTATCAGAATCACAGACATATATATAAGAAAAATAGACTGCTCGTTCTGATGTACGGCGCTAAAGCAAAAGTAGAAGGAGACACAATATTAAACGTGTATATCTATCTCTCTCGCACGTTGCCAGCAGTGGGGGTCAGTAAACTAAGGCCAGCTGATGCAAATTTTAAAGATATTATTCATCCAGGAAATTTTTTACCCTGTGCTCTTGTTTATGTGTAGCAGTAGTTAAACAACGCGCTCTCTACGCTCATTAGTGGAAAATCCAATATGGAAGGTAGCTTGTTCCAAGCTTCCTGATCGGCTGATCAGTTTGGTGGCTTAAGATAGTTAAAATCCCACCCCGATAGGAAATTGAACTAGGCTGTCTGGGTAGTTAGAGGGGGCCTAGGTAGGCCGAAGGTAGGTTTTATTACGGTGGAATTGGTAGGGACTAGGTATGAAGCCTAGCTATAGCTATTTTCCATCTCACTCTTTCTTATACTGTGGCTGTAGCTACAATATATATAGGTAAAACTGATGCGAATGACAGCCATTTCTGAGCAGTATGTGTAAGATAATTAACTGAGATGTTAAGGGTTCTCTGCATTTTCATAAAATAGTTTTTGTAATTTTTTTTGTAAAATGAGTGAGACAGTGAAATGATCGTTGTCTTAAGGTAGTAGTCGATCAAAAACACTTTTCTTACGATTTTTCTAAAATTTTGTGTGTGCCTTAAGATTGCTATTATTTATCATGAGCCAAAATTTGAAGAGGCTTAGCGGTATAGTTTTGTTGTTCGAGCTTTGCAAAGTTAATAAATTCAGTGAAATTTCAGTAGAACGAGGAGCGTTATAAAAATCCGGCAACACTGCTTTCGTCGATCTCTACATGTATTCATAAATCTATATGTATATTCCTTCCACTGCATTGTACGCAAGCTACAGCTGATAGTATAAATGAAAATTAACAATATTTTATTTTGAATCAATAAAATTTATTTGAAGGATTATGGCACGCACTGTAGAGTGCTCGACTACTACCTTAATGTAAGGAAGGGGTCAAGAGATATCGTGCTTCAAAACGTGCAATTGCAAAGGAGAAAGAAAAAGAAACACATAGCTTTAATATTGGTGCAAATTACGATGGAATATTGGGTTGTTGGGTCAAAATCAAATTGCTGAGAACTAAAACATTTAAAATATTCTCACAGTTTTATTAAATTGACACTATTTTTTCCCTACTGTTTTTTCTTACATTGTAAAAATAATTAACTTTTTTCATAAAAAAAGTTACTATTGTTGTAAGACAAACTTTTATTTATTCTCCTAGTCTAAGAATTCAATTCTTAAAGTACAGTATATTACGCACACCTAGTAAGCGAGGTTAAGGAGCAGAGCAGAACATATACTTAAAGCATTTTCGGTGGGTGAATGCAGAAAATACTCTAGAGAGGTAGCCTAGGTAGGCACTAGCTAGACCCCCGCCAAGCTTTCCGATCGGAACCTTATATATTTCTTACACCAAGTCCTGCATGCTCTATTGCGCTCCATGTGACTGCAGCCTTAGGGTGCGTTAACATGGTGTCTTTTGTTTTTTAGAACCATGTCTTAGGAGCTATTCACATAGACATTTTTTGCTTATTTCATTGTGAACGGGTGTAATCCGCAATCGCCGCCAGCAGTTGAATATGTAAGACGTGACAACGTTGCGTAGTTGGGGGCGCTACTGTCGATTTACTGGTGATGTGATCCGCAATTCCGCCAGCATTAAAGCAGACAACGTCGGTCTACTTACTCTTTTTCGTGACATTTTTGCTGTGATCCCGCGCAATCTCGCTAGCAGTATGGCTGTTATTTCCATTTTTTTTTTTGGCACTTGAAACTATTTTTTTTGGTCTGCGTGTTTGTTTACGTTTAGCACAATATGCTTTGTCTACAATCAGAAAATGTCACGAAAAAGAGCAAGTAGACCGACGTCGTCTGCTTTACTGCTGGCGGGAGTGCGGATCACATCACCAGTAAATCGACAATAGCACCCCCAACCACGCAACGTTGTCACGTCTTACATATATAACTGCTGGCAGTGATTGCGGATTACACCCAACGTTCATATTGAAAAGGGTGTTCCACGGTTCCGCTAAACTCAAAGTGAGTGAACAGTAGGGTTGTTAATGAAAGTTGCTTTTTAGAATTAGAAGTTTTGAAAGTTTTAAAACTTTCAAAAGTTCTCTTTTGTTTGCTACAATCTACATAGCTATAGCTATAAGACATAGGGTCTATAGAGTATAGAGGTAATGCGTGCTGTGATCTCCTACTGTAACTAGTGTACGAACCCTTATTCTTGTCTGTTAAATTTAATAACAAAAGCGCCTTTCACCCAATGACCCGGGGCGCTTACTAGCAAATGTAGTAAGTAATTAATTGTTAAATTAATTAACAAAAGCGCCTTTTACCCAATGACCCAGGTTGCTTACTGGCAAATGTATTAAATAAT